TTTCGGTACTTTTCAGAAACAAATATCCGCGTACGGTTACTCGCACTTGCAGTGTTAGCAGAGAGTATGCCTTTCAAAATGAGTTACGCACTCTATTTTACTCTATTTTTGGTGTTAATTTCATCCAAGTGAACACATCAAGTGAAAGAAGAGATACATGTGTAGTCATATGTACATTGAACGCATGAGTAACCGTACTCGGATATTTGTTTCTGTGTAAAGTCGCACAGACTGTTTTTTAAAAATGTTTTTCAATATTGTGAACAATCATTTTCAGTGGCGAACACGTAAAATGAGAGTGAGAATAGCAGTAGGCTTTGTGTGCTTTTTTTCTTTTATTTTCAGTGCTAGCAACTAAAACTCCAGCCATTACATTATGAGCACAGGGGATGTTGTTTCAGATAATCTCCCCCCTTAAATCTTCCTTCTCTTAAGCCGACACAATTTGCTTGGTTTTTCGAAATGAAAAAGTCCATTTTGTTAGAGTCTTTCGATTTGATTAGGTTTTTTATGGTCGAATAGACCCCCCTGAACTTGCTGACCGTGCCCAATGTATGCATTGTATACTGCTAAAGTTTGATTTCATCATGAATTCACATTGCATGCTGGTTCAATTTAAGAAGAAAAAAAGGAATTCGCTTGACATTTGAAATTATTGAGTTTATTTTGTTTAATTTGAATTTTACTTTGCATTTTTCTTTCCACCATAATTTATTGGTGTTGACCTTTTTAGTTGTGGCGCTTATCTGCAGGTCGTATCGTTTTTGTTAAAAATTGTTGGCTCGATTGAACTCATCTGCAATGCTTACGGGTTGACGTATTTATCTTCAGCAAGCTCGTTTCAATTTAAGAGAAAAAGCCAAACTTAATCAAGTTAATTGTTTAAATGAGTGTTTTTGTAACATTTTCAACAGTGTTAAATTCAATAGTCGACCATCATTTACGATAAAGTTAAATTAAAAACATCAAACGGTATGTATCATGCTAAGCTTTTTAGTCAAGTGTGTTCAGCTTCCCATATTTTTCACTAATTTGAAGCCACTTCAAGTGGAACATTCGTAATATGTGTGATCCAAATTTTTTTTTTGCAAGGAATTTGGAAATACCAAACGATGAGCAATTGAGCATAGACTCACTAAATTCACACTATTTTAATGAATATATTCATCGATATGTGTCATGGGCTCATTTATAAATTCATATTCAATGACTGCGACTAACGATGCAAGTTAATGTAATATAAACCACCGACAGATACAACAATAAATTTTATAAATATTGTTATCCATTTGGCCTCTACACGATACCGTTGGTCGTTCAATGAGCAGCAATCATATGTGCTTGCGTTTTTGCTTTTTCCCATCATCATCACGCAAACATTTTCTGTGTATGTGGATTAATGTTTTAAATACTCTGTTTGCTTGTTTGTCTGTTGATTTCTGGAGTAACTAGAATAAAAGCTGTGCCGGAGTCACATTGACTATCCATTTTATGAATGGAGCATGATGATAAGGGGAAAACAACAAACTGGTATGTTACGTTCCCCTCATTTTGAATGCAGCATAGCAGTAAAATAACGTACACTAATTTTCCATGGAGAAATCTGAATGTTTGTTGCTTTTGAGCGCGGCTCATGCATTATTTTTGTTTGTTGACGAAACCCCAGCAGACACCGAATAGTAAAATAAATGATTGTTTGATTTTTAACAATGCTATTACGATCTATAATGTCATCATAGCTGATAAATTGGTATTTATACGTGTAGAAATGGGTGTGAAATATATGTCACATAAAATAATAACAAAATACAATATCAGCTGATCTTTCGAAACAATATTTATGTTTGCTTAAGCGTTTGCACATGGAAATGTGTTTTTCCATGTCTAACATGTTGGCGAATCAAATTCGTTGAATACACCGAAAATTATCCATTATGTATAGTTTGATCAAATAAAATTATCCTCAATTCATTGGCGTTACGTTTGGTTATAAATAGTTCAAAGTTTGTGGTTGAAATTCTATCTGCATTCGACTATGCGAATGAAAAGAATATGGATATTTGGGTATATTCATGTTAATTTACAAAACAATACGTCGGCGAATGATGGTATTAATATTTAACGTTTCGTGAAGACGACAACACTGGCTTAAAAAGACGCCACACCACTTGACTCCGACATTTGATGGATCAAATTGGGTTATTTTGCAAACCACATTTATAGTGGTTCATCAGCCACTTAGCGTACATTCATTTTGTATATGCATCATTCAAGGGAAATTAATTCAATTGAAAATGAAGTGAATAGAATCATTTTTTATTTTATCAAAGACATTTGAGAAATAATTATATGCCAAACACATACTATTCATTATTCTTTTCATATGTGCCTCTATAGAATTGTTTGTTGTACATAAGTCGACTGACGCATACATCACTCTCCCATTCATTAACACAAAACTTTGGATTAATCTATAACATACAACTTATAAGTAAGTCGAAGTTATTTCTGTTGTATGTTTACATAAACATTTCGTTTGAAATGAGTTAGCTTGCATATTTGATTACCATTTGGAGTTCGACGCATAATTGATCACCAGGGATCCGATCGTTCCAATTACCCTTGTGACGAAGGGTCCGTTGAGCCGTTAGGCCATTGGGCACATTAGGAGTAACTCCCATGCAAAAATTTCGTTCAAATTTCTTCAAACTCTCAGAATGTTATTTTTTGTAAAAGAAATGTACCTTGCAAAGTTTCACATCATTACGATATCATAGCTCCCATACAAAACCCACATTTTTGGTGAATTTTTCAGATTTTTGTATAAAGAGTGTATTTGCTTTCTCCTTATAAAAGGATAAATTTTGCCATTTGGCCGTTAGGCCGAATATTACCAACGGCCCAACGGCTAAATTTCCGCTGGGTATGCAGAACTCACAGCCACCCCAAGCTTTTTGATATCGGTATCACATTTCATATGCACACAAACATAGTTTTATGGTGGTGGCAAAAAGCTTTGATTGTTGCACATAACACAACCGATGAACTTCAGTTTATGTTCTTCATTGAAAAATGAAACACGTTCGATGTTACACCATCTGTGAAAATGAACATAATGACGAAAAGGCAACTTATTTTTTTTTCAATTAAAAATGAAATATTTGTTTTCCAGCATCTCAATGAAATGTATTTCAATTGAAATCACAGATTTCTTCCACACGTTTCTGATTCTCTCATAAGCTGAAAAGGCCAATTGATTGCGTATTAAATACCGAATCCGTGATTATCAAATGCAATAGTGTTGTTTGAATGGTTTTTGACATTTTTATACAAACATATGGAGGCGAAGCTATACAACCACTTTCAATTCTTGTCACCTGTTGCGTTAATGTAAATGGCATAACTCCAACTTGATACTGATAATCAATGACAGCATTATATTCTCCATATTGTGTAACGTACAATAGAAATTGCTCATATCACCTGAGGAATGTGAGAGGACTTTTGATGGTTCATTGAAATATACACAATGACCGTGTGATGAATCATTGACCATTATATATAATCCTTACTAATACATTTAAAACAACATTTTTATTATTAGTTTTGATTGAGTGTCAATTAAATTGACCGATATCGTCGTTCAGACGCAACAAATAATTGAATCTTCCATATTCACTATAATCAATATTTATTAAACGAAAAAATGTCTTTGTCGTTTCAAGGAAAAACAATACAAAATGATTGTTTTATATGAACATGAAGGAAAAAACTAAACGGGATGAAACATTTATGATATGGCATCTCTGTGAGTGGGTAACCCAGTTTTAATATAAACGAATAAATTACATTGTTATTGTTCTGCTGATGCACCTATTAATTTTATTAAAAAAGGAAAACATTTGGAATCGCATGCATTGGTATCCGCGCTAATTGCATGGTAAGAACAACGAGAACGACGTCATATAGTTGGTATCCATCCGTTTCACTGTTTGTTATGGCACTCCATTTAACTTATTAGAAACGCACGGAAATAGACCGAGACCGAGGAGAGACAGAGATAAAGAGCGAGAGCGAGACAAAGACAGAGGAACAAGCGTTGATTGTGTTCAATGAGCGGAAAAGCGGGCATTTCTCATCTGTATCACACTTTGCAAACCACACAATGGCTGGGCCATTGTCAATGTAATTTATCATAATGTAAAATCAGGCTGTTATTCATCGTTAGGATTTTAATTGTTCCATTGTAAGTAGTGATAGTGATAGATGTATTTGTGGTGAACATTGACTTCTATTATGGGGGTTTTCTTCTATCAGTGGCAGTTTCTATGGCATAATAAAATCATGTGATTTTAATTGAAATGGTATGATTACAAATTAAATTTGTTTCATGGCTGAAAATAAATGCAAAACTCGACACCGTAACTAGAAGTCTAGCGTCATTCGAATGGAAATAAGAAGTTTTCCTTTTTCATCCGAGAAATGAGTCTAATATTGTGAACGTAATTTGGTTGACATGGATTATCTTTTTTATACACCGAAATGGAAATGCCAACAAAAAATGAGAAAAAAAAAACAAAGCACGCGCACATATTGGGTGTAATGATTGTTATGACAACGTAGCGGGTGCGAATAAAACAGATGAAACAACGATAGGCTCTAAATAACAATAACCGAATTTTTTGAAGCGAAAACTAGAGCTTTTATTTTAATTAGAACAGTTGGCAGTAAAAGCCATTGTGTACTTCTATTGTATAGATTTAATTGAAGTTTACACATTAACATTGGGAGATTCATTTTTTTTGGCTCGGGCAATACCGTAGCAACTATAATGTAGGTCACCGTTGTTTATTCGTCGCCAGCAAAACCAAATATTAACACAAAAGAGACAATTTAGTGTGGTCAGATTGTAAGTATCTGTGCTTCTCGGTGCCGTTCTTAATTATATATTTCGTTTTGTTTTTCTATAAGTGGTTACGATAGAAATGATCACATCAAAAATGGAGTACGTTCGACCGAAATTGAAAATAAATCGATACAAACACGAAATGCCGCACATTTTATTCCGATTGATTACCCAAGAAATTGATCACATAACACAAACGAAATTAAACTTTTCGCTTGATTATGATTTATCGTTGTGGCTAATTCGGTTAATGATTTTAAATCCAAAATATGGCATCGGTTATGAACGTCCCTTTGATCGAACTGTGACGGACGCATTAATTGAAGACTATGTCCAAATTGTGTCAGGTAATTTTGCATTCATAATAAGTTGAAACACTTCAAAAAATATTGAATAGTGTGTGTGTGTGTGGGTTCATTTTGGTTCGTTATTGTTTCGCGTCCATTCAATTCCGCTCCATTTATATATTATTTATATATACACACACACATACGCTCATTGTTCTGTAATTAAACAAATTTATTGACCACACTTCTTTGGTTCAGATCCAGACAGCATATTTGTTGCCATTATAAAAATGCAGATTTATTATATTGACCATTACATCGATAAAAGTCGAATAATTACAAAACATCAAGCCACCATGAACGCCAAAATGGAGCCGCTGACCCGACTAATTATCAATACCCGCTTGAAATCAAAGAGTGAATGTGATGAGTATGTGAAAAAACTAGCCGTTGATATTATTGCACATTATGGATTAGGAAATCCGGAAAATGGCCAGGTTAAGCATGTTCTCATATTTTCCCCGTTTTTTTTTTTGCCGAATGATATCCATAAATCACACATAAAAATTCCATTTATAATATATTTTACGGACGATACGCACACTTGGATCGTATGTTGGCGAAAAGGTTATTCAAGAGACTCAAAATGCATTAAAGAGCATGATGTCTACGAATGATGTGATGGGCTTTTCAACATTGTGCGAAAAAGATAAAATCGAATCATTATCGGGTATCCGTGAGATTGTGTGTGGAATGCGAGCTTTCAATAGAGATGCAGGCCACTGTGGCGAAGGTCTCATTGACAGTAAGTATATAAGTAATTGAGTACTGTTTGTTTGTCATAAAATGGATTTTGCACGTGCCACCTTAAACCTATTAACTTCATGGAAAAAATAAAAAATAAATGGCAAAAGATCCACATTTCTCGTACGAATTTTATGTAAAAGAAAATATAACAAAAAATCCATTTACGTTAGTTCGTAGACATATTTTGGTCATTTCACTAAGCACAATCAATGAAACGCCAATGAAGGAAAGTCGATGCAACGAAATTTTACATGAATTTCCATACAGGTCAAATACTCAATGCGACAATTGTCAAAGAATGTGAACTTTTTATTGAAGAAATGCGATCCAACGTCTTCTTTTTGAATCATCTCAGTGGCTAGACGAAATTAATAAGAAAAAAATGAAAATAATCGTCCATCCATTCGGGGCTTCTTCTGTTAAATAAAGAGCATAACAAATTGCTGTGGAGTTGAAATCATATGCCATACTCTTGGTATCGTTGCACCATTAACAGTTGCTAAGCACATTTTTTTCTTCTTCATGAAAACCGTGGGTCATCATGGCTGCTATGAAGCATTTCAACTGAATCCACTGTTCTTATACTAAATCACGTCGCGATATCATAAATCTATGTATATCTATGGTGCGTGTGTGCCATAAGATAACCGGAATCAAAGCAGTTTGACATTTAAGTTTGACTTTGCTTTCTCATATGCATTTGATCCTTATCATGTATGAGCTTTGACCAGATGTCTGGCAACTACATCACCAAGCATCGTATGAATTCAACGAAAACGTTAACAACAATAATGAATGATGTGCGTATGTGTTTGCAATAAAAGCGTATTCTTTTTGCGTTTATCTGAAACAGACGATGCGAAAAATTCCAAAAATAAATACAAAGGAAAGAATGAAAGAAAATGCATCATATAAGTAAGAAAAAAAGGGTACCAAGTCACTTCTATATCTTTCGTTTTATTCAATGAAATATTCCATTCGTGCGATATGTAACGCTCAAATCAACTAACATGTATCGTATTGTACTGAAATAAACAAAAGAAGAAGAAAAAAAAATCAACAATCGATTCAAAACGTTCAAATTCAGTAATGAGTGTTGTTCAGGGAATTTTTTTTCTTTGTACTTGACAAATTTCACCAACCTCTTTTGATTGATGTCCCTATTGTACTCTCTCTCTCTCTCTCTTCTTCCCGAAAAGTCGAAAAGACCGTTCGCAATGGATACAAAACAACCAAATTACAGTTGAATACATCACTGAAAGAGATCTCTAGCCGAATTGAAACGTTAATGGCAACACTCGGGAAGTTGCCATCGTTCGATATGCTTCCGAGCTTGATTGAAAATAACAATGTCATCAAGTCAATTACATTAAATCGTCAATGTGAGCGTTTTTTGTACGATTTATTGAACATACTGGACGACCATCACATTCACATCGATCGTTTGTTGAAGAATTTTCGCAGTCAGTTGAACAAAATCCATGAAATTGTTAAATTCCGGACCGCCATACCAATCACCAGCATATTCGTAAGTATACAACAATATTTCCGTAATTTATATCGTGTCGCACTTTTTTTGCCTGCAGTTTAGTGACTTTAAAAACATTATTTTCAATTAAATTTGCATGGTGTTTGAGTTTTCACTTTGCACAAATCGGTTCGCTGCTTCCTTTGGCTATATATCGAAGCGGAAAATTCAATCAGTGATCTCTTTTTTTTTATTTTTTTCTCTTGCTCTTTCACTGCGTTTTGTTTTTAGCGAAATTGCTTTTCATCAATTTAGTGAGCTCAGCAGTGTGTGCATTATATGTCGATTTTTTGCTAACCATTTCTTCTCAGTGTTGTGCATTTTCATTTATTCGTTTTCTTTTTCTAATTTACTTCGCAAACATTGATCCGATAGCCGAAATTCATTGAACTGGCAGCATTATGGGAACATTTACAACATCAAACGTACATATTATCCGAGATAAATACGGTCAATGGGCAATTGATGCTTCTCGCACAAATTCCATCATACGACGTCAATGTAAGGGATCATCATGTATTGACAGTGTCACCGAATTATGGCGTTAATGAAGATAAGAGCATTTATGACGGTACAAAGGTTGACCGACCGAAAATCATAAACGCTTCAAAGAATAGACAGATTAAAATTGTTCCATACGAAGTTAATTTAAAGGTATGTCACTTATTTTGACATTAAAATACAACAAATTGCTACTGCTCGTTTCGTGATCTCGATTTTGTGACATGTACGAGGTATTTTTTGTGTACAATTTTTTATTGCTTTTTTTCACAGAGTTTTTTCATTTTTAAATGTTTCATATCATCAAATTATAAACAAATGTTTTTTTCCTAGGACACGATTCCAAACGTTTCCAAAAAAAATCGTTCACGATTTCAATCGTTGGTGTAGGAAATGACACCTTATATTATTATTTCATAAATGATCAATTTCATTTCTATGATACTGATACTTATATCAATATACATTAATACTTCAAGTATCACATATTCACATAAGTATATGCATCACATATGTACATACTTTTATGTATCACATGTGTATTTTTACATATGCGTAAAACTTAGTTGAGTCCGATCTTTTTCAAACTTTCAGGGATTATAGTACAAGATAAGCCATCCCTGCGCAGTGTAGTATTTTTTTTTACTAGTGGCGCCATCACATTTACGCGCCCATCAGTACTTTTGGCAACACTGTTAGTAGTGTTTTGACATTTCATGAAATGTGACATTAATGTTTGTTGATATGAACTGTGTTTGAGTTTTTGAAATTCTAATTTATTATTGTGAGTTTTTATATGTTTTTTATTATTATGATAAAATAACAGTGAAAAAAATGTGTGAAAACATATGTAAGTATTGAAAATTTCAAAAAAACAATTGTAAAATTTCTTATTATTTACAAGGTGCGTTGTTCTTTAAGGAGTCAGTCAAAAATATATTTCTTTTTACTACATGTGTTTGTTATTACTTCATTAAGCGTCATTAAGTTCAATATTTTTAAAAAATATTATTGAGTTTTCTTCAGAATTATTGAAAGTTAGTTATCCGTTCTGTTGATTACGGTCGAGTAAATACACTTGTGCCACCGCTAGCACATTTTTGTTCCAACCGTAACACACAAAATAATAATTTAATCCATTTGGAGTCATTTTGACTACTTTTGGGGTAACATTAGAAAAAAATCCGAAAATTTGTTTGGGGTAATCCCTACAATATAAGAGTGCATTTACACACTCACATTGCACCGCTCAGAGATACTCATAACAAACACATGTAGTAAAAAGAAATATATTTTTGACTGACTCCTTAAAGAAAAACGCACCTTGTAAATAATAAGAAATTTTACCAATTCAATTCAAGAAATTTGCACTTGTTTTTTTGAAATTTTCAATACTTACATATATTTTCACATATTTTTTCACAGTTATTTTATCATAATAATAAAATACATATAAAAACTCACAATAATAAATTAGAATTTCAAAAACTCAAACACGGTTCATATCAACAAACATTAAAGTCACATTTCATGAAATGTCAAAACACTACGAACAGTGTTGCCAAAAGTGATATGCTCGTAGTTCCATTACGCGCCCTCCACTGCACGGCTACGAGATAAGCTAAACATTTTTTGTTCTACGACTTTTTGATCCTGCCGCCATTTTGGCCGTGGCCGGCCTTTCAATGTTGAATAATACTCAATTTTCCTACGGCCACTGAGGCTCAACCCCTTGACTTACAGTTGGTATTTGAAAATCGTTGGAAAGGCCTTGAAATAAACTATCAGTTGGAGCCTGTTTGTGCTTATAAAATACAAAATTGTCATGGTGTCATTGGTGAATAATAAAGAGTGGCCGGTCGGCCATTTACATATGGGCCGCCCATACACATATGTCACATATTTGTAATATTTTCACTGTGTTTACAAAGATAAAGGTCCAATACATACAAAAAACGATATTTGATTATATTTTTGATTTTTTGTATGTTTAATTTGCAAAAGAATATACCTCGGGTCAATTTGACCCGAGGGACGGGGTCTAAGGTTAAGGGTTGTTTTCAAATGAAAATTAGTCTGTTTTTCAGCGAATATGATATATAAGTTCCGAAAAGAGCCACCCATTCATGTGGCATTGGACACGAATCATGTCCAATAGGGTTCTGTATTACCGCAATTATTAAAATTTTAAGTACCACTACTTTTATCTTCACAAAAAAGCTATTGTTAGTGAGGCATAAGCGCACATTGAATTCAAAAAGTTTACTCATTATTTGTGTTTCGTGTGAAAGGTTGAATACGAAGCTTTTTGTGTATGGACTGTATCAAACAATGAAGGATTATTGCTGCCAGCCGATCTTACCAACGGTTTAGTTCAGTATGAAAATAAACACTATGGATTTAGTACGGTGGAAGCGATTGATTGGTTTATACAAAACCCTGACACGTGAGTGAAATATTGGTTACTATTTATACTTTTTTGGTCTGCACAATATCCTCGTCAAATTTCATTGATGAACAATTCTATTTAATTATTAATTAAAAATGTCACGTGCACTTTACTCAATTTTAATTGTTGTATGCAATTTCAGTTGTTTGGCTAACATAATTATGGTGATTTGTCGAAATCAGGAACTGGTACATTTTTTCGATATGTATGATTCGCTTGAACAAATTGTTATGAAATCAAACGAAAATGCGTACAAATACAGTCAGAATGATGATGAATGTAGCCAGCGATGCTCGATTGGCATTCAAACTGATGTGCATCCCATACGACCATATAAAATGGACAAACATCATAAGTGGAACATATGGGATATGAGGAGAGATGCCATTAAATTGGCAAACATTCGAAAATGTCAAACTAAGTCCACCCAAACATGCTGTCAATCAACGTTTGGCACACAAACAAATCTCTAGCCTAGAAAGATACGATCAGTTTTTGGAGAAAAATCTCTCCCCAAACATGATTGAAAAATTCAGGCAATTTTTTTTATCTCTTCGATTTTTGTGATTAATATTTTGGAAATCGCCATTCAATGGGAAATAAAATTTAAAAAAAATACAATTTTTTTTTAAAATGGCAATATCGGATTGGATTCAGCTTGAATGATCGTCGTTCATCTATTGAAATAAATTAAAATTTTGCCACAAATAAACTTTTGATGCACCAAAAAAATGTCTCACACCAATGACATGAAATGGCTCATTGCTGATGGTTTTTACAGATTATTTGAAAGTCGACAGTCAATGCAGACTCAATCGTTGAGAATGGTATTTTTCCATATCCATAGTATTGATTCAGGATATGACTTTTAAATGTAATCAATTTAAAAAAAAACTCTATTTAGTTCGTCCGACAAAACTATCTGAATGATTATTTTTTTTCAAACGCATTGTATTATGAGGCGTTTGTTTTTTTTAAAAAGAGAAGTTTATATTTGATTCAACTACTTAAACACCATAGTGTGCACCGCACACTAAATTAGTTAAAACAATTTAGCATTAAAATGTATTATATTTTATTAAATGTAAATTGAATGTTGCACCTCATGAGTGCGTCCTTCACATTGCAATCAAATTGCTTTTCAACACAATATCACACATAGTTCAAAGAGTGCATTTGTCATGGGAAACCAACTAATTGCGTTCATTTCATTATATTTTTCATCGAATTATTTGGTGAGAAAATTTTGTAATACTCAAGGTCTTTTGTTATGATTTGCAAATTAAATCGTATCCCATTAGACATTACATTCAAAACCAAATTAGCGAGAAAGTTTGATTAAACACATATAAATTGAATTGTTTGAAAATTTCTTTAGTTTATTTTTCTCCGTATCAAATACGTGTTTCGGAAAAATGATAAATTTTACATTTTATTCATAAAAATGATAACAAAAAAGTCGCATTTTTTCATTAAATTCTTAATTCCAAATGAAAAACAAAACAATTGGCCTGATTATGTGCCGACAATTCGATTATGAAATTTCTCCTCATCGCACAACGGTTATATCGCATTTTAGATTGATTACTATTTGCATTTATTGTATAGAACTATTGAATTACTCTTAATAAAAAATAAAAAAGAAAAAAAAAAATAAGAAATTGTTTACCACAAAATGAACTTATAATGATTTGGTACGTGCCCGTTGTACTTAAATGTTTGTGATAGTCTTTTGGCTATCATTCTATTTCATTTCATTGTTATTATAATTGAGTTTTAGTTTTAAACATTCGATGTTGAAAAATGAAAATTGAAAAATTCAAACACTTTTCGGTTGGTTTAAATGTATCATCTAAAACTAACAGCTTATGTATCTATGTGCACGCAATTTTCGGTTGCCAGTATAACTAACAATACATGTTAAATAATTCCAGTGCGTTTATGATGTGTTAGTGTTTATAAAAAATACTTTTCTTTTATCATGCAAAAATTCTGTCTTAGCTGGCATGCAGTAAAATCGAAAATACTTCAATTTCAAGAAATCGAACTTTTCCAAGCATCCGAAAATTGTGTGCAAATAGAAAAAAATATTTTTTAGTGTTATAAAACAGTATTCCTTAAGCTACTACATAATAGTATCATTTTATTTTGAATTATGATTTGTTATTTTTTTCTTCACAAATTTAGTGTAGGTCGGTGTGAGTGTGTTTGTCTGTTTGTGATTGTGGATACAAAAAGAAATCGTGTAAAAAAAGATTCTCAATGAAAAGCAATGTGTGTGATTAGCCGAGAAAATGCGTTTTGAGATATTTCAACATAGCAAATGTACGGAAGCGTTTAACTCCCATAACGGTTTGTAGTTGACTGTCGCAGATGGCAAATTGTTTATTTTTCGGATCGTAGAGATTGCGTTCGTTGATTATGGCCCAAACTCGTTTGACGACCTCATGACGGGGCAAACAATCAGAACCAACAACAGCGGCCAACTGTGGCGATAGTTGATATGGTCGTGTGAATCCGGTACCTTTTCAGAAAAAAAAAAAGAAATTAAACAATTAAATCTCTCAAAAATTGTTTCGAAGTTTCTCATTTGGTAGGAATAAAACAAACAATGTAAACGCATACATTACGTGAGCGTTGTAACATGTTTATTTTGGCACACCAAATCGTATCGGCCAAATTTTGTTGTATCATAGATTTCTGTTGTGCTCGCTACACACATGCGCTACAACAACAATACAGCAGTCTCGAATACAGTGTACATACCTTTTCTGCCAGTGGTTTTCTTTTTGGCGCCATCATCTGCTTTCTTTGATATTTTTGATTTTGGTTTTGGTGCCGGCTTTTTGGGTTTGTATTCATCACCTGAATCATTATTTTCCGAACTGGCATCACTGTCTGCCTTACGTTTTTTCGACACTTTTTTCGGTGGTGATTTCTTTTTTTCTTCTTCTTCACTTGAAGACTCATGGCTTTCTTCATCATTTTGCATTGAATCAACACAATCCATCACCATTGAGTCAATTTCCTTTCGACGATTGGTAAAATCACAGCTGAACTTATTTTCCAGTGACAAACGCACTTTTTTCGACGAAGTTTTTTCAAGGTCGGCATTTTTCAGTATGGCTGAATATGAGAAAAAAATAACAAAATATTAATCAAACAAAAAATTATGCAAATTGATTTCATATATTTTTCTAGGTTACGTCAATCTAATAAACGAGATGAGCCTAATAAACTTTTCAGGTATTCAACTTGAATTCTATGAATATATAGCATCCGAATGAACAAAGGTAATAATAATTTCATTTGCAAGACACTTTAAATTGTAGAGTGAACGATAGACCGGCACTGAAACAATTGAACATCGATTACCATCGTATTTACACTCAAAACGCCATTATTTAATGATTTTCAATGAGATTCTTATTCATTTGATAAAGGTTTTTTCTCTATTAAATCATATTGAAAATACAAACCGCTAATTTCCTTGCGTAGAGTTTCTTTTGATATTTCTGCCATGTTTATGTTTTGGTGAGAAATAATTACTTAACCAATAATGTGTGTATATTTTGACTGCACACTGATTGACGACAATGTGTTGTGTGTACTGGACGCCTGCATAAGTATGTCTGATATTGTCAAGGGCAAACCAACCTGAAGGTAGCCATCTTGTCTATTCGCTTCACATTTGAACCAAGTTTATTTTGACTTTTCAGTTGGAAATTCACGAAATTAATTTCATCGAAAAAAAAAAGATTTTTTTTTCTTTCCATTTATTTGTTTCAACAACATTCACAATCACGAATTTTTCGGGTTATCTTATAATTAAATTAGAAAAAACTTAAACACACATATGACATATACTGTAAGTAATAAAACTGTTATACTCAATAAAAGCAATGTAGTGAAATGTGCTTTGGATCCAAGTTCGGAATGTAAATGTTATGTGTTCAACATCGAAATAATAGATGGCGGTAGTTGACATCTTTCGACTTTTTATTTTGAATGCTCTTTTATTTATCGCTTTTAAACAAAGTTTAGTTAGTTGCACATTTTTTTCAATTCTTCTTGTTTTGAATTTGACATTCATCATATTAAATAAATCAGGCAACGTATTATCAAAAATTGAAAGTATTATTAGCTTCTTGAAGAGGCCCACTTCTTGTTATATATAATTACCGGACGTGTAACATTAGAACTTATACTGAAAGTGTTGGATTTTTTCCCAACAAACTAAATAGAGAACCGATGAAATTGAAGTATCAACCAATAGATTTTCAGCTGATCTACTCGTTTCTTTGAAAAATGAAATGAAAATCACTTTTCTTCAACATTTGGCTCCAGTTAACCCCCTAATAATGCCTCTAAAAAAATCGATGACACCAAACAAAGAAGTAAACAAACATTGATGGCATCGAATTGTTTGTGTGTTTGTCTTTTTTTTGTGCACATGTAACCGCCAAAGAGTGAAAAGAAGTGTACCAAGCTAGTATAAACACGCATAAAGAGATCAAAAGAACGTACAAAATATTGTGTGTTTGACTCTTCGTATTCATACGTGTGTTTTTAATTGTTAAATCAAAGCGCGTGCAACGCTAAAACTACGCACTCTTCGCATTGCAGAGCATTCAAAAAAGGGAGCTAAAAAGAGGAAGAGAGTGTGAGCAGGTTAGCGAAAAAAAAATTGCACATCTCATGCTTAGGTACCTTCAATTTTCATTCGTAAACACAAAAATTTTACGTACAACGGAAAAAATAATAGGAAAAAAAACTTTTAGTCAAAAGGATTATAAATCATTTACTCTAGCTCTGGCTCTTTTTCCTGTGCACATTTGCACGTTTTCAAATGTGACGAAGATGTAGTTTACGGCATTGGTAAGAAGCGTGTTTAACCATAATCATAACAATAATAATGCACACGCAGGCGAACACACGGAAAAAAGAAAGGAAAAAATATTGTACGATGATGATGATGATGAAGCCGAGTGCATTGTAGTGAATTATATTTGATGCATCCCACAGCACCTGTACGCTGAAATCAGAGCGCGGCGCTCATCTCATCATCACCACCACACCACTGACATCAGTAACTCTTTTACCTATTAGTGAAGCATTTATAGTTCCTTTTTTGAAAACATATAAAACCACAATAAAACAGAAATGCTGGAAAATGCGCTCTGGAATGAAGCTAATTTTCATTCACAATGAAAAGTTGCCAATTGTAAAAGCTATGAGAGAGAGTTCTGCACAATGTACACATATGTAAACAGCAAAATATGACGATGATAGAGAGAGAAACCGGCTAAATTCAGCATTTATTTACATCTCGTATGGATGCCCGTACATTAAGACCACGGATATTTGTGTGTATGTGTTTTTTTTAACACATTTCTGTTTGCATACACATCAAGTGAGAGGAAGGCAGAAAGAAGAACGAAATGTGAAGCATCCACACTTTTGATTGGCCTCGCTAAAATTGGCAAAATATGACTTTTTTACTCAAGTATTTTCTATTGTAAGATAAATATTATGGAAACTGGACTAACAATACAATCTAGAAACAATTACGGGAATTTTGTAAAATGCATGCTCGTGAGATGAGGAGGTCAGCCTAAGCACCATCTAAAGTGCGTACGGGAATCGGTTACCATTTGAAAGGGAAATTTAAAATAAAACCTACCAGTTTTTCTTTCTACAGCTCTCTCAATCTCTCACACATGGTTTCCTTCTTTTTATGCCACTTTTTATGTAAGTCACCGCACAAAGTATCTACGCATGTTATAAAAGTTAGAGAAAAATAGAAGTCAGTATACTCTTTCTCATTGCAACGAACCATGAACACGTATACACGGAGCTGAATATTACCTACGGCATATATTACATTACACGTTTGATTGCTGATACTGAAAACCATTAATGCTCAAATTAAAATGAACAGAAAATTAAACATTTGAAAATCACGAGGCAATTTAAGTATTTAATTACCATAACACCGGTAACTTATATATGCGTTGAAGAAAGGACATTATAAAAACGGCTTCAATATTGGGCCTACATATTTTCAATGCATTTTAATGTAAAAACGAAGAAAAAAAATCTGAGCATCACGTTCTTTTAACACGTTTAGTTGCCGAATCAAACAATGATTTAGCGTCATTGTTATTCAACCGAATCACATAAAGTTCATGATCCAAATTGTTGTGTGACTTTTGTGTAATCAACAGGAAATGCACGTTGAGGAGTGCATTCTATTGCATAAAAGGTCAACATTTACGCCAAATGGACGAGAGAACGTTCACATTTTTGAGGTGAAATTAATAAGATGGCAAAAAATATAATATTTCTTTTACATTTCAGAGGCTCATTTATTCAGCGTGTTGTTTTGTTTATGCTGATGTTACCTTTGACGCAAACCAGAGATTGTTATGCACAACTGAAAACTTATATTTCATTTCAATAAACTGAAACAAAAACAATTATGGACAATTTTATGGGAAGAATTAAAAGAACCAAGGCGTTGCTTTGTTTGTACAGCACATAAGAGAATTTTTGTTTGTAATTCTGAACAATAAAAAAACATCTGAAACACACATACACATTGAATCAGAAACGAATGCGAAAACGATCAAAATTGTAAAACGAAACTAGAGAAATGTCAGATATTATGAATCCGTGGTAAACAAAAATGCAATCTATTTCACATTAGCATTGCTTTCATTAAATAATTTATAAGTTGAAAATAGAAAAGAAAATGGGAGAAGAATTGCGTGTCAATGATATAACTGCCATTGTACCTACCATTACCAGTCATCACACATTTGTTTCATTTCAGTCTTTAATTATATTCCCCGAAAAAAAAAACAGAAGAAAAGAAATGAAGAATGTAACGAGAAATTTATAAATATCCAATCTAGCGAAGCGATGAATTGAATTTTGGATTATCTGTATGCATGTGAGCAAAAAAACTGAGATATATATATCAATCGTCATCAATCGAAATTGCATGTTCAATGCTCACCCAAATGTCATAAAGGAATATTTTTCAAGCCTTATTCCCATATGCATCCCAATAAAACTGTCCAAAACAATTAGAATCAAAGTAAATATTACAGAATGAAAAATCGACACATGTGTACACAACGTACAACAATAATTGATTCAATTTAAAAACACAAACACAAATACACACACTTTAATTCTATATTGGATTTGTCGAAATAGTCAATTTTTATTCTCGTTGTTAAATCAAGGTCTGCTTGAAAAAAAAAAAACAAATTACATCGAACATATCGAATGATTCAGATTTAGTATTAATGATTGTTGGTTTTGTGAAAAATCGAGCGAAAAAAAAACACGGCGCACATACAAAATGATTGCATTAGAAAAAAAATACCATCCATTTCCAATCAGTTGTCGCAAGCAAAACATTTTCTCACAATATAAAAATGTTTGCTACACCAATGTGCATTTAAATGTAATATTCATGCGTTATTTTGTCTTTATTGTTCCGTATTCAACTGCGTATCAAATAACAAATCGAATGAAAATCTAACACACAGACATACACTCACACGCAGAACGGTACATGAAATTTATTTATGAAAAGAACGAAATAAATTTAGAGCGATAGAACAATCAGATATCATTCATACAATACCAAATAATATATGCCGATATGACATTTAACCAAATAAATTATGCGATGGATTTTTCAATTTTTTTTTCATCGTCGTTGTTGTCGTCATCGTCATTGTCATTTTTTGTAATGCCTTCAATCCAAATCGACGAATAACACGATAGAACTAATAATTTTATTTTTATTAGCAGCTATCAAGTAATGTAATGTCATTGCAAACGAAGAGTTAAGCCATTAGATACAAGAAGTCAGCGATAGAATTTGAACCAAAAAACGGGAGGCTATTGTAAACGTGAAGAAAAGTGCACATATTTACGAAATCTCGCTCTGTCTCTGTCTCACTCTCGTTGTGTTCATGTGTGGATGGTATAGTGCAATTGGCAATCGGAGGAATTGGTGAAGCCTCTTACATCAATTTCGTTCTTCCCTTTCTCTCGCTCGCTGGCAATTTTTCTCATTCATCATTCTTTTACTATGAATCTAAGCACTTGCTGTGAGTGTGCTGCTGCTGCTGTTGTTTCTGCGATTTTTTTTGCTACCGTTTCTTTTTTTTGTTCTTCTTTCGTTCGAACGAACCGACATTCTGATTGTTATTGCTGCTGGTGTTGCTGCGTGTTTGTGTGTTACAGTTTTCTCGAAACTATTATGTTGCGACTTCATGCATTTTGTAGTTTTTGCATTTTACATTTATTTGCCCGTGCAAATGCCCTGTTTTGGGAAAATGTATGGTAAACAAGCGGCTTCACTTCTCAATTTTAAGCACTTCACATTTGTCGAGTAATGCGCGTTTTTAAAGTAAACACTTTTCGCCTGGCAATTTGATAAATTATATCTTGTGCACAAACACACACACGCACCGAGCACTGACACATGCTCTCATAGAATTTCCATGTTAAATTGTATTTGATTCGTGCATGTAAGCAATAGCATTTACCATATTTTTCGCTCTTGTTCTCTCTCTCTCTCTTTATTACAATCTCTGTACACACGCGCTAGCTGTATATTTA